TTGTTTACGCATGACGACGGACGACGGACGCCGGAGCATCCCCTTTTGATACTAATAGCTCACCCTGAGCCTTCGGCTCTGGTGAGCTAAAAAATACGAGAGGAAAATGTTGACTGTATCGGATGAATTCGCTACGTTAAGTAACATACCTTGTATATGTATTATTTGTATCATAGTTTTGGCTCCTTTCTGTTGAAAATGTGTCTGAGTTAAATCGTATACATATCACTGCGCGTTAACTGGAGTGCAGGTATTAGTAACCCACACCCCAGAGCATGCCCATTGATTAGCTAATTTTTGCTGGGGTTTACTTATTGGGACGGCATGGAAAGTGAAAGCGACAGAAATATCATATTTAAATGCTCGTTCATTGGTAACTTTTCTCCGGGGTTTCATATTGTGACAACTGGGAACGTGTTTTAATGTTTGACTATGACAAAAGAGAAAGGACATCATAACACTCGGCAATCTGATTAATACTCTCGTAAATCAGATAACCTCATGTTTCGATGCTCTTTCTTTTACATAGTAACGGGTGCTGGATAGTAATTATGCTGTTAATGATCCAGGGGTGTTTTTATGTTAATTTGACTATTATTGACATGGACAATGTGTCCTTTGCCTGTGCTTTTCTCTGGTCCCCTGTCCAAAAATATTTTATTAGAGAATCTGAACCCAATGTTATTTTGTTAAAACAAAAATAACTTAAATTTTCCCCGTTGCTGAATGGATGAATGCATATCTACTAGCCGACGTGTGCACAAGCCGTCAAATAATCAGGGTTTTTAACATTTCAAACGATTTATTTCTTTAATAAAGCGCCCCGTTTAGTCGAATTATTGTTAACTTTATTCACAAAAATGATAAATATAAATCATACTATAATCATATTAAGAAAACGTTTAGTCAGTAAAGACTGCGTAAATAAATGGAAATTGTGTAACAAATATTGCATTTTTTTGTAATTTTCTTAGTATTTGTGTTTCAGGTCAATCCAATTTCAAAGTCTGAAAAAGGGCCTTCAGCGACTGAGAATTTGCACATTTAAAACTTACAGTTATTTTTAAAACGAGTTAACATTTCTTCATTAACAACCTATGAAAGTAAAATCCGAGTATCTTTTTAAAGATACTTCTTGTTTATTTTACCGCCAAGTAATTTAAAGAAAAATACCAACTTTACATGTCCTGTTAAAGGAAACGCAGCTTCCTATACATAGTTCGTTAAACGTAATCTGGTGAAACAGATTTTAGGGACGGGTAAACAGAGGGCAAACCTTTATTCATCCCTGTTTTAAACCAGTATATAACATTTTTAAAAGAACAATCATTAAACCAAGGAGGCGATAACTCTTATAATGAAGATGCTACACTTCTGAGCCTCGTCATACATGATGTGAGTGGTGCCAAAGAACAAATATCTTAAGTCTAAAGCAGATGGTAACGTATATACATGTGATAGTAACAAAGCAGAAAATTAAAAAAATATGTATATATATAACAATTTTCGAAGTTCAGAATAATATTAATCAAGGAAATCCAGGCACTAGATTTATACATCTACTCACATATAATTTAGTGTTGATAATGAACATATACAAATGTATTTGAAATATGAAGTAAATGCACGAAGAAATAAGAAAATTGTAGAATAAATAAGGAAAATTCAAAGTTTAAGGGGGAGATAATTTTTGATATATGGACGCTAGATTGATGAAGCTTGTCATATTATTATGATATGGTAGTTTAAAGTTTGAAGTAAATCGTTTAAGAAATCAAGAAAGTTGAGTAAAGAAATCATAATTTCAAGAAATATAATCTAAGTTCAAGGGGGTCATAATTCTGGAAATGGTCAAACTAGAGTATTGAATCTTCTCACACATGAAATTAGTAACAAAAAGTAACATATACTTGAAGTTTGAAGAAGAAAGAAAGAAAGGAAGAAAGAAAGAAAGTAAGAAAAAAGAAATAAATGTAGGTGATAATAAGACAGATATTAATAAAGTTTCAAGTAGAAACATTTAGAAACAAGATATGTTTGTAAAACATGTATGCCCCCTATCGGCAGCCAATTTGTCATGTGATCAGGTTATTATGCATGACTTCTGACCCAGTGAACAAGCAATTAAAAAGGGTTATCTAGTATCTACTGGTCATGACTTGTCACAAGGTAATAATTACTGTGACCCCATAGGTTGTGGGCAGCAATTAAAGTTATTAAAAATCTTACCAAATAATATATACATAACTTTTATGAATCACATAGGCCTCATTAATGACAGCCAAGTTGTTATATTACATAAGACCTTCAAATGTGTATACCAAAAGCACATAAAAATATCAACCAAGGCAACTTTAGTTGTTGTGTTATTGGTCAGAAACGGTCATTAAGTACAAGGTCACTATGACATTGACCCCTTGACCCAAAATCAATAGGGGTCATCTACTGGTCATGACCAATCATCATACCAACTTTGAAGTTCCTAGGACTACGGGTTCTTAAGTTATTGATCGGAAACCGTTTTTACCTACAAGGTCAATGTGACCTTGACCTTTGACCCCCTTAACCCCTAAATCAAAAGGGGTCATCTGCTGGTCATGACTAATCATCTTACCAAGTTTGAAGTCTCTAGGCCTAAGGGGTTCTTTAGTTATTGATCGGAAACCAATTTTACCTTCAAGGTCAATGTGACCTTGAACTTTGACCCCTTGACCCCAAAATCAATAGGGTCATTTGCTGGTCATGAGCAATCATCATACCAAGTTTAAAGTTCCTAGGCTTAAACGTTCTTTAGTTATTGATCGGAAACCATTTTTACCTACAAGGTCAATGTGACCTTGACCTTTGACCCCTTGACCCAAAATCAATAGGGGTCATCTTCTGGTCATGACCAATCACCATACAAAGTTTGAAGTTCCTAGGCCTAAGGATTCTTTAGTTATCACTCGGAAACCATTTGGTCTACGGACGACAGACCGGACGGACCGACAAGTGCAAAGCAATATACACCCTCTTCTTCGAAGTGGGGGCATAATTAAGAAGTTACATAAATAACAATATTGGTTTTTATGAAAGTTGTAAGTTTAAGGGGGTTATTCCGATAGGTTTGCTGCTAAAATTATGATCCTTGTCACACATGATGTTGATAATAAGAAACCTAAATTTAAATTTTAAAGTTTATACCTTGAGAAATAAAAAAGTTATACTGAAACATAGATTTTACTGAGTAAAATCTGTCAAAACCAGGAGGCGGTTGCCGACGCTAGATGAGTAGGACACATCTCAATATACTCCCCAGAGTCAAACTAAAATGATGTGCATACTCTCTATACTGTCATTTATCCATATTTCAAGTTTCATTAAAATATTTTCATTATTTTGAGTCTATTTGTTGCCACAACTACCAATTTTTTCAACATAGGAAGAAGAAAAGGAGAGATTATCCCCAGACTGCCATATAACCATATTTTAAGTTAATAAAATTAAGTTTGGTACATAATGCGTTATCAAGGATCCAGTGTTGTGAACGGGCAGTATTGTTAATTTAAACCAAAAGAAAACAAAAACTCGACCTCATCTTAAAAATTATCCATGCGGACGGCACTTACGAAATAATTTTTGTTTGCCATTGTTGTTGTCTTTTTTGGTACACATGCGTTTATGCTGGTTTTCTTTCACGAAAATAATTCTTATGTCAAAAGTAAGCAATCAACAGTGCATTGAAACCGTCTGATTATTCATGCCGGCGTCAAAGGCCTCTTACAACTTTGTTGTGCGTATTTATCAATAGAGTTACATCATATAAGGACACTAATGGTTGATCTTTCATTTATATACATAAGTCTCAAATAACATAAAGTTTTTATGTAAATAATAAATGAGTAAATATTTCCTGTTGAAAGGGGTTATATGGTTAATTATAAGTGTAAAATGTTGACAGTTCATTTTAAGGCTTTTAATGAGCATATTTATTACGAGGCAGAAAGAAACCGTTCCGTTTTGTTGTAATTATTAAAGATTTTGTATGTTATAAAATAAGGTTGTTACCACACTTAAATGAAAATTTAAATATTATATATGTACATAATTGTGCTTCTTAAACGATTTTCAACACCGAAGAATATGAAAACATACGCACTGCAATTATTTGTTCACATTACATATATTCATTAAAATATATGCATTCATTTCTGATTGAAACAAATGACTTAGACTTTATAAGGAAATACATTTCAAATTACCTCCCTTTATTACATGAAATTTAAATTCGGTAATTTCTTTACAAATAATTATTTTTGGAACTTACAATGTTGACAAATCTTCATTTTGAGCGTCATATTTATGATATGAAACCATATAAAATAAGTTAAAGGATCTTATTTTAAAGAATTATTAAATAGTAATTTATCACGGGATTGATTGATGTGCATGCATCTTTTGACAAATTACACACAAATGTTATGAAATTTCGGTTACATTGATAGATACTGCGGCACATTTTTAGAATTTCGCGAAGTTGCTTGTGACTAAAAACCTAGAGTAATTGTAGATTTACATTTAATATTTACCGAAAGATATTACATGTGTTATATTTGCAAAGTGGAAGGAATCGATTATAATCTTCGAAAGAGACAATTTTCGTTTTACTTAAACACTGTTATATTGTTATATTCTGGCAATGGTCTGGAACCGGAATTATCTACCATATCAAACCCACAAGCGTAGATTTGTAAAGTTTGTCAAAGAAATTTACGAAAAAATAAAAGAGTTGATACTTATCACAAATTGGAAACGTCAGGATCAAAACGCTAAAGAAGTACATGCTTGTATTCATTGATTTATAGAATTATTGCTGTTGACATGAAAATCCATAAAAGTGTCATAGTATTTGTTAGTATTCTACATGTTCTAGTATATTCTTTTCTCAGCCTTTCTAAAGATATCTCCATAATGAAGAATTCATTAAACAATAAAATATTTAAGCTTAAAAAGTAACAAACCTGTCCCTTGCCGTCTTTTGATCTCATCAAGGTCTCTCTTCACATCAGTTACACTTTCCTTAATGCCTTCAAGGTTTCTCTTCACTGCAATGTCATTTTCTTTTACGTCTTCTAGGCCTTTCTTCACGTTTGTTACATTTGCCTTTATGTCTTCAAGGTCTCTTTTCACTGCAGTATCACTTTCCTTAACATCTTCAAGGTCTTTCTTCACTTTCTTCACATCAGTTACATTTTCCTTTATGTCTTCAATGTCTTTCTTCACGTCAGTTACATTTTCTTTCACGTCTGTCATTTCCTGTTTTAGTCGGTCAACATCATCTTCATAGTCATTCCACTTTTCTATTTCTTTCTGTATTCTTCTCTCTTCTTCCAGATCAAGAGGGCAAGTTTCGAATTCGTCGATTGCTTGCTGAATATTCAAAGCTGGAGAACTTCGACGAACAAGTATCTAAAACCGGAAATGAATAACTTTATCATTTAAGTTTGGATGTTTGGTCTTTTTAAGTGTTTAACGAAAATGTTGACCCAACAATTTATCTGTTTATACAATATTTTACATGAAAAACAAAATTTGCTGAACAAGAGTCATGATGGCTCTACTTATTTTAAAGGCTCTTGATAACAAGGGACAATTAACACTGTTTACTATCAATAAAAACAGATATAAAGTCTTAATCTTTTACTGATCACAAAGGTCATTATCTGAAAGCGTGCAAATGTAAAAAACGTTTACAGGTTGTTATTGCTGAGAAAAAAACATTCGTAATTGAAAAATTCACTGGTGGCTTTACAAAACTATTGGTGTCTTTGGAAGTTAGTGGTTTCTATGAAAGTCAATTTGATTCCTCGATTAAAAATTAATAGTTTCTATGGAAAGTTAATGGTAGTTAAGATAGAAAATGGTTCCTATGGAAATATAGAAAGTCACTGTATGCTATGGGAATCAATAAATGCAATGGTAGTCAATGGCTTCTATGAAAGTGACAGATTGATAAAAAATCATTTGTTCTTGGAAATCACTGCTTGCTTAATTTTACATCAATAATTGAAGAAAATTACTTGTTGCTAATAAACACATGTTTTTTCAGGAAAAGAACGGCTGCTGTTGAATTGGCTCTTTGCTGGGGAATATAAATGGTCGTTTTTGAAGTCACTGGTTACTCTTCCTCATGAATTATGCATTATAATTACTTTGGAAAGTCAATTGCTGCTACAGAAATAACTGGTTTGCTATGAAAGATACCGGTTGCTATGGAAGACAATGGTTGTTATAAAAGTCATTAATAATTGGCAAAAGTGACGATTGTTGATCCACTGGTTGCAATTAGATTCAAGCCCCAATAAGGAAAATCCATGACCCCCGAGGCGTGGCAAGTTTAGCACCAGGGACGTCTTCTAAACTATGTTTCATGTAAAATATCTAAGCTATCTCATCGACACACCTAAAGTACTAGAAAACCTAAAATTTGTGAAGCACTGCATGTACTGGAAACCCTGAAAATTTGGAAGCAGTTTGTAATTGCTAGAAACATCAAAATTTGGTTGCATTGAAAGTAACTAAAACCTGAAAATAGTGAAGAAATCAAAGTATTGCACAACCTAAAAACTGTGACGCACTGTAGAAACATTGTACTGGAAACCCTTAAATCATGATTTTTTTTATTTACTTGAATCCCGAAAATTGGGAAGCACTGAATGAACGGGAAACCTGAAAATTGTTACACACATTGAAATTTACCGAAAATTGTGACGAACTGAAATAATCGGTCCTTTAAAATTATGAAGGATTGAATCACTGATTCTTGTAAATTGTAACACACTGAAATAATTGTAAATCGAAAATTAGTCAAACATTGAAAGTACTTGACACCTGAAATCGTGAAACACTGAAAGTACTTGACACCTTAAAGTCGTGAAATACCAAAAGCACTGAACATTAAATAATCGTGACGCACTCAAAGTTCTGATACTTAAAAATTGTGAAACATTGAAAGTACTTTACACATGAAAATCGTGAAACATTGAAAGTACTTGACACCTGAAAAATGTGATGCACTGAAAGTACTTGACACCCACACCTGAAAATTGTGAAGCATTGAATGCACTTGGCACCCGGAAATCGTGACACTCTTAAAGTACTGATACTTGAAAGTGTCAATGTTTTTTAAGTCTAAACACACTAAGCTTCCGCAGAGATAAGTCAAAATAATTCACATCGTGTTGGAGATTTCCAAAATGTACAAACATTAATTTACAATTACAGTCAAGACTGTCATATGTGACTTTCCAAGGGATTTTCAGGAAAAAGTCACATATGACAGGGAGTCTCATAGAAAATTAAGATTTAAATACCATCTATCTGTCTATATACAATTGTGACTTAACATAATGTATATACTGTATAACTAAGTGAAAGAATAGTATCTAACCAATTGCAAATACACAAAGGCACTTTAAATATTTGATGTAATCCCTGTAAAGCAAATATAATCGCATGAATATCATATAAAATTTAATTTTATTTGTTGTTTTAGATTTATATTGAATCATTATGGTACAAAATAAACTTGAATTTGATGCATTCGAATCCTTAAAATAAATATCATACTTTTAAAAACATATCCATATCCAAAGTTTTTTCTAGTCTGGTATCAACATTTTTCCGTATTATTCATGCATAGTAAAAAAAATGCTGCCTAAACATCTTTTATTCGCACTCCATAAATTTTTTAAAACACAAGTCTTAATCCAGTTTACTCAGTTCATTATGTTCATGACACCTGTGACCTCAATTTCTTAAAACACATCGATTGCATCATGCTTACCATATTTGGCAGTACTACTCCAGACGCTACGTCTCTTGATACCTGTATACATGTAATCCGAGGTGTGTAGAGTTTGTTTGAAGAGTACTGACTATTGGATTATAATTGGACTTAATTATTTTGTTTCCCTAGGTGTTAAAACAGGTATTATTTATGATTAACGGACAATTTAAAGGTGTGAAAGTCGTTTAAATCAGACAAAGCAATGTATTGGGATCAGACAATTAGGCTCGCTTGTCACATATGATAGAGAGTCGTATAATTCAGGACTGCGTTTCATGGAGAGTCCTAAGTTAATCCTAAATCCTAGGACTTATGACCAACTTTAGGAGAAAAAGTTTTTGCACTTAAGTCCGCTTCAAGCAACTGTCCTATCTTTTGTCCTAAACTTAGGATTTATGACCAATTCACCATCCTGAAAAAAAAATACAAGGGCACGCGCATAATCCCGGATTGGATTTACTATGCAATTGATCATAGTAAGGTAGTAATGTATTGCCCTCTTGACGTAGAAGACATAAAGATTTTATCATGTTGAGTGAAAATATATGCCATATTTCACGAAAAGCGAAAAAATATTTTTTTTTCAAATTTCATTATGAAATAAAAATGGTGACGAATCTCCTTGCTTGCTACGCAACTGCAATTGTACAGCGCGCAGTTATATATTGTTTTGACAGTTTTTGCACGCGCTGTTTTGCGCTAAATTGTGACGTCATGTAAACAACTCTTTAAACGTCTGTACAGTGTTAATGACTGAATTAAAGATATTGGTGTTCGGATTTATTTTTTTAGTTAGACCATTTTCTATCATTCTAGATGTGACGTCATGTGCGACACCAGGCGTTCGAAAATGTGCTCCGACAAAATTTAATTTAATTTATTTTTTTCATGGTTATTACTGCAAGATAGATGACGACACTTGCTCAAAACGTGGATTATGATCGATAGTATCATTTGGAAAAGGAACTTTTGAAATTTGTTGTAACTTTTGCGTGTAATTTTGGGGGAAAATTACGACCACCTTATCCCACCCACCTACTTTTACATTAGTTTGAGTGCGCATCACTTTGCGCAGGATTCCAAAAATCGATAAGCGCGCGCATCCTACTGCGCAGCAACAATTGCCGCGCCCATGAAGAACAAGGGAACTTTACATTTGCTATGTTTAGCACTATTTTTACTAGTTATAGCTTTGTCTAGCGAACTAAATGCTACTAATTCCTTCCAGACATTGATTGAACCCTCGGAACCCAGTATTATGAAGCTTGAAATTGCTACAAGAACCATCAAATGGCGAAGCGCATGCTATATATTAAAAACAATGTTGGAACAAACTTTATATTGTGTTTATTATTGATCCAGTCGGGTGACATTGAAATTAATCCTGGACCTAAAACCTTGAAATATCCTTGTGGAATTTGTAATAAAAATATTGGTTCCTGGAATGTTGTGACACTTGGTATCATGCTAGCTGTGCAAAAATCAGTAGTGAAACTCTTGCATACCTTGATATTTCTGAGGTAGTTTGGATCTGTAAAAAGGATGATTGTGGCATCCCAAACCTATCTAGAGTGTGCTCCTTTGATTTAGATGACTTTTTATTAGAAAATACTTTCTCACCATTAGTGAAAGATTCTGTTAGTATTAGCAGTACGTAACCAGTACCACCAGTAAACATTAACTTATCATCGTCCCCACCTCGGAGGAGAATCTCGCGTCCCTTGAAACCGGATAGTTTATCGTTTGTAGCATCAACACCGCGTGTATTACTACCATCTACCGATCTGGATAGTAACATTTCACATATTTCTAACGTAACATTAACACATTCGGGTAGTGTTGAATCTGAACTTACATCATCATTTTTGGGTGACATGGAATCAAGTAGTGTTAATCCATCTGTGGATAGTATTCATTCACTTTCTAAATCACTCCACGTTAATAAGTCTCACTTGAAATTTGAAGTGATAAATTTTCAGAGTATTCGTAATAAGAAACAAAGTTATACAACATTATAGCTAGTAAAGCGCCAGATGTTATCTTAGGCACTGAAACGCATTTGAATAATGAGGATCTGAGTGCTGAACTCCTACCAACAAATATCCCATCTATTGACAAATATCAAATATTCAGGAAAGATTGGTCAGAATTAGTGAACAAACGCGGCTGTGGTGTTATTATAATGGTTGGACCTGGCTTACCAGCTGAGGAATGTTCAGATTTAGACTCTGCCTGTGAAATAAAATGGATTAAAATCAAAATTGATAAAAATGAACAAGTTTTAGTTGGATCTTTCTACCGTGAACCAAAGGCTACTTTAGAAACATTAGATGAACTTGAAAATTCACTCTTAAATTTTAAAGCGAACTGTACTTCTCCATACAAAAATATGACGAAATTTCTAGGAGGTGATTTCAACCTCGGAGACGTGGACTGGGATAACGGATGTACAGTGCCTAATGCTAGGGATAAGACTTCTTGTGATAAATTAATCGATATAACTTCAACTTGTTTTATTGAACAAATTAACAGAACCCCTACACGTAAGGGTAGGGTTTAAGACTTATTCTTTACGAGCCATCCAACACTCATACAACGACACGTAGTCGGACCACCTATC